TCTGGATGACTGCTTTTCCTGGACAGGTTTCCCAAAGACGGCAGCTGGCTCTTTGCTGTTACGGAGTGTGGCCGCTACAAGGATAGTATCCAAGTCAACCCCTGCGTGCTTACCCCAAATCTGGGAAGCATATTTCTGAAAAGTGGCTTAAGTCTACAGGCACAGGTCCCTGGAAACACTCCAGCTGGCTCCAAGAGGCAAGGAGTCCAGAAGTCGAGCCAATTGCAAAAGAGCCCAGAAGGGCAGTAACTTTTTTATGAGGAAAAAGAAAAAAGAAACATGGAATGGAAAGCTTTCCTCTCCTCTAATTTTCCATCCTATTGTTAATGTCTAATCCCACAGTGAGTGAACACTTCTGCTTGCTAGGGACAGCTGTTTCCACTGAGCACAGACCTGGAGAGAATCAATTCATGTTGCAACAGGAGGAGGGATTTGTTTTAGGAAGAAATTTTCATGGTGAGAATCCTGAGGAGTTAGAATCGGTGACTAAAGAATCTTCCGTGTTGCGAGTTTTTGGTTAAAGGAGTTAGAGCTAACTCTTGGAGTGTGGCTGGGGCGAAGACTGCTTCTTCTATCCAGCCATGTCAATCATGTGATGCGATTAACTCTTCCCTGCTGCCACGGTAAAGTTCAAGTTCAGTTGTCTGGGCGTGTTCTCCAGTGACTGAGCAGCCAGGCAGTCACTTATCTTACAGGGCTGTGAATTGCATAGCAATGAGCAAATGGCCCTCGGTGCCTCTCCCAACCCCTAAGCCCTGATAACCTCCACCCAGGACTGAGTTTCTAAGAATCCACATAACAAGGATAGGAAGCCAGGTCCACAGAACAGCATTTGAAGACGGCCCACCACACGGTGGGATCTGGAGCTGGTTTACAGACACAAAGAGTCTTGTTACACAATCTGTAAACCCATACAAGCTCTGAAAGTCTTTTGAAATGAAGGAGAGTCATAGTTTACAGAGGACACTGAGCGGGATAACATTCTGCAGGGAGAAAAGTAGAGGGAATGGAAGACCCTGGCAGTATGTTTTCAGCACTTTCTGGGAGACAGAGGGTTCTGGGTCGAGGTGATGGACACCCATTCTTGTTTCAGAAATGTCTAAGAAGGGAGAGAGGCCACTAGATTGACAAAAATGCCCTCTCACATCCAGTGCTTTTTGTCTAATGATAGGTAACACTCTCTAGGCAGCCTTCTGGCCCATAATGTGGTCTTCTAGGAGGACTTACTCACCGGGAAGAAATGACCTTTGCAAATGACCAGTCCGGTTCCTGTGCCCATCTCCCATTGTAAAATACAAGCTGGGCATTGTTTCAAAGCCGGCAGTCTACTTATAAACCGTTCTTATGGGTTCTGATGGTGTGGACCAGACGTCCAGAGCCTAGTTAACCTTCCAGGAAGAGGGAAGATGGAATTTCTGAGCTGTGAAGCTGGCCATCAGACACCCTGGGAACCACGTGCGTGCACCGTCACTGGGGAAGAGGAGGAGGTGAAGCGTGAGGCTAAGGGGGCCCACGTAGCATCAGGCCCAGGCTGCATCGCCCTGTGTCATCTTCAGGGCACTGGTACTAGAAAGAACCCTCCAGATCAGGCATGCCCAACTGATGGTGCTTGGGCCACAGCAGCCCAGGATGGCCAATCACGTGGCCCCACAAAATCTTTTAATATTACATGTTTCTTCATGCTTATTTTTTCATGACCCCAGGCAGAGCTCCATTTTTGAAGTTCACAATCACGCCTTATTCCTGATGACATCACTTTTCGGCAGCACTCAAAGTTGTGAGCAACTGTTTTCAATCATGAAGCACTCGAAGAGGAAAATCCGAACAACCATGTCTGACAAGCACCTTGAGAACTCACTGAGAATTGTTACCACTTCCATGGAACCAGACGTTGATAGATTAGTTTGACAAAAACAAGGTCAAATTTCCCACTGGCTTTATTTTGTTCTCATTGTTCTAAACTTGACACTAAAAAAATCAAGGAAATCTTATTATCTGTATATACTATGCTATATAATTTAAGTGCAGCCCCAGATAAGTCTTCTTTACTCGATGTGACCCAGGGAAGCCAAAAGGTTGGATACCCCTGCTCCAGATTCTCTGATAACTACTTGGTCCAAGAAATCCTCCAGGCCCCTTGAGCACAGAGAAGCAGAACCGCCTCTGTGCCCCTGAATCACACGTAACCTTCGTGTGCTCTTACCCCTGACATATCCCTACCTCTCAGGGACAGCTTCTGCTGGTTGTATCACTATTGCCAGACCAGAATTCATGAGGTGGGGGTGGGAGCTGGCTGAACCAGACAGGCCAAGATTTTTAAGGGACTATAAACTATGCTAATGGTGCCCTTCATATGCTAACAACTTCACTCCAACACCAGTTAGTAAGATAAGAAAACACAGCTCCGTCTGTGGCAGAATGTGGCAAATGCTCAAATATATTTCTTGTACGATTAAGTGAATGATCGCAGAAACACATGAGTAGCTGCTTCGGGGTCAGCAGTTGGCCCCATGGCAATCATCTGGGATGACAGATTGTCTCCCACTAAACCTGTGGCAGAAAGGGGGCTGTAGCAGTTAAAGGTATCTCCTTTTGAAAGTCAAGTGGCAGCCAGGCTCGGTGGCTCAGCCTGTAATCCCGCACTTTGGGAGGCTGAGGTGAGTGGATTGCATGAGCCCGTGGGTTCGAGACCCACCTGGGCAACTTGGTGAGACCTCATCTCTACAATAAATCAAAAAATTAGCCGGGCGTGGTAGCGCATGCCTGTAATTCCGGCTACTCGGAAGGCTGAGGCGGAAGGATTGCTGGAGCCCAGCAGGTCGAGGCTGCGGTGGCCGGCAGCGGCCACTGCACTCCAGTCTGGGCAACAGAGTGAGACTCCAACTCAAAAAAAAAAAAGAAAGAAAGAAAGAAAGAAAGTCAAGTGGCAAGCTCTAAAGATGTGCCAGGCCAGTTTTGCTTAAAAAAGCCAAATAGCCAAGGACTGGCAGCTTTCATGGAAATGCAAAAGAGTAACTAATCACAGACTTATCCAAAACCCCTCTTTTGAAGTTGACGGTTTACAACCCTGCTTGCAGACGCTGCTTGCCCTGCAGTTCCTGGACACCATTTGTTCTTTGAAAGATCTGATTTTGACAATCTTGAAAATTCCAAAGAAGATGTGAAATCGCTCAGTACGAAACCCCTCCCTTACCTAAATGAAAGTATAAGACCCCGCTTCTCCCATTCTGGGGGGCTCTACCTGGAAGCGTTAGCTCATCAAGCCCACCGGCATAATAAAGTTGCCACTTCCTGTAATAGTCTTGGTGTCACAATCTCTCTGTCTTCCCGCTATGGTCTTGGAGCCAAGGGTAAACAACACAAGGAATGGAGAATGGCAAAGAGACCTGCTTGCACCTCCTTCATAGGAGACTGTAGACCCTTTGCAGGAAGGGACAGCTCTCTTAATGTGGAGTGTGCTAGGGGCCCAATGACGATGGAAGGAATCAAAGCGGTGCCGAAACAGAGAGAAGTGGTCTGTAGAGCCCACAGGTTTACACAGCCAGGGCTAGCTACTAGTGCAGCACAGGGTCCCGTGCTCAGAAGGGTCCTGAGTTTGGTTTAATACTCTGCTTCCATTACTTAGTAATGTTAGAACAAGGGGCCTGACATTTCCATTTTACACTGGGTCTTGAGAATTACGTAGCCCGTCCTGCTTGCAGCTTACTTCCCCTTTAGATAGACATAAATTGATTCTCAAACTGCTGGGAACTTGAAGAAAAGGAGGGGAAACAGAAGTGGGTGGCAGGAAAGGGCTGGAGAGAGAAACCCCCCTCTCCTCCCTCCGGACAATGCCCGCACAGGTCTGGGGAAGCTCTGGCTCTTGACCCCTCACCCCGTCCAAGAGTTGCTAACACAGGAAAGAAGGCAGCTTCACAGGGGATTCCTCCAAGTGGGGTTATACTGAGGAGGGATTGATGCAGGGACGCCCCTGGAAGCAGGGAGCCCCACTTCAGGAAGAGGGATTGATGGAGAGTCTCCGATGTGCAGCCCCAAAGAGAAAGGAAGCCTCCATTTCCACCAGAAGGGCTCTAACAGTGTCTGAATGCGGTACCCTTCCATTTCTCCCCCCTCAGCCCCTTCTTCGTGGCCGAGAGGACACCTGCCAGCACATCACTGGACTGAACCCGGTCACGTGCGAGACTCCTCTCATTTTAGAAGTGGAGTCGGGAAACAAGGTTGGGGGCGGGGGCAGCCCTGGGAAGCCCAAGCACTTCTGGGTAACGCCCGTCCATTTCTGGACTTTACATTTCTCCAGCTCACACGTCCTCTCCGCTGATGAAATAAAATCCAGCCCAGTGAGTCTGACGCAGAGACTGTAGCAAAGATGCTCAACCTGGGTGCCACGTGGTATTTAGGAATGGACGAGAAGCACAGCCCAGGCGAGCCCTTGGGATGGGGGCGGAGGGGCTGGTTTCCGAATTCCTTTCATCTTCTCTGGGATGCCTGCCCTCAAATCATACGTGTGGCTAAGCCCAAGTGTCGGGAGGGGAGGAGGCGAGAGAGGGACAGAGGAGGGAGAGGAGGCTGTGCTAGAAACTTCTCGGATCCCTTCCTATGCTTTCTATGTCCTCCTCATTGTCCTGTCAGGGGAAGAGGGCGACATCCACTTGGTTTCTCCTCTCTAGGGCAAGAGCTTTCCACATCACCTTCACCCTCTAACAGCTTCACTCTCCCATGGGCCTTTCCCCCGCAGACCTCACCCTGCTGCGTGCCTCGAGCCTTGGGCACCGAGGCCACAGGGAGACAGACAGGACAGGCTCGCCAGGGACCAGCCAGGCCAGCACGACGTGGGAGGAGTGGGCAGAACCCCAGAGCCAGAGGGGACCTGGGGTTGGCCGTGGGCCTCCTCTGAGCTCCTGTAGCCCCGTGGTGAAATGGAGGAGAAGCTTCCGCAGGACCCTGCCCCGTCAGGCCTCTGCCCAACCCTCGGGGTCCTCCCCGGCTGGCTGGCTGCCCACCTTGCATTTGAAAGGCTTCACATCAGAGTGGACGATCATGTGCGCCTTGAGGGTCTGCTTCTGCACGAAGCTCTTGTAGCAGAGGTGGCACTGGTAGGCACGGATGTTGGTGTGGATCAGCACGTGGCGCTTCATGTTGGCCAGCAGGGTGAACTCCCGCCCGCAAATCCCACACTTGTGCTCCTTCACGCCCTGCGGGGAGGCAAGAGTTAGAAAAGCGGTGGTGGACAGGCAGCATGCCTTCCTCGGGGTCCAGGCTTCGTTTTTCTTTCTGTCACAAAAATCCACAAGGAGCTTGGTGACACATGTCGAGTTTCAAATGGTGTAGCTTTAGCCTTCTTAAATTACTATTTTCTTAAAAAGTGTTGATTGCATCATTTTTTTTCTTTTCTGACAACCATAAACTAGCCAGACCACTAGAGGAAAAGCAAACGATTGCTTGTGCTGTGTCCTGCTACTGCTAGGGTTATTTCTACAGAAATAGTTCTCGGGGATTAATAGGATTTCAGTAAGAGCACTGAGAAATGAGATGCAAAGTGAAGCCATAATCCGGCTTTCACGAGGATGAAAACATAAACTCTTCTAAACTGACGTGATCATTTCCCTTATGAAAACCAATGTCCTCTTTAGTTCTCAGTACTAGACTTGAAAATCCCAGAAGACCAACTCATATCCACACTTCAGTAACTCACAACTTAATACTCACCCTCTTGAGTTGGTCCCTTGGGTTTCCACAGACCATACCAACCGGCACGTGACATGGTTATGGAGCCTCCTCTAAGCCAGCTCCTTCCTATAGAGGCATCTGGCAGGGGCCGGCTTTTTGAGTTAGAAAACAGAGCAGGAGGTTTTCTGGTTTCCTTGCAGCGTGTGGAGGGGTGCTTGGATGGACGCCCTCAACTGAGAGCATTTCCAGGGACTCATAGCTTGAGTAGAGCACTTGCTAATCCTGACTAAGGATTGCTTCCCCGTAAAGGCCTTTTGCAAGAGAGATTGACCTAGAATGACTTTTTGGGAAGAAAAATTTAGAGAACCAGAGGCTAAAATGAAAGTACTGTAGGACCAGAACAAGTTACTCAACTAACAGCTATACCTTATAAAATCCGTATTTTCTGGCATCCATAGTGGCCTAAGGAGGGAGGGATTCCAAGTTTGGCTCAGACTCTCTCTGCCTCTACTTCCGTGTGTTTAATTTGGGGCATGGTAAGAAAATACCACTCCACAGTTCTGGCAAAGCCCCTGGCATTAAAGGACAGGTTCTGCTCTCTGCCCAACCATTTACTGGCTGCGAAACCTTAGACAAGTCCTGTGGCCTTTCCTGGAGGAGGCATCTCATCTCAAGATCAAACGGTAAGTCATGAGAGCCCTGGGCTCTCCCCAGCTTGGAACGCCCTCTGGTCTAGAGGATTGCCGATGAGTATAGATTTCAGATGAGTATACATTTTCCAAGAAAGAAATCTAGAAGTCAACCTCCTTTAACAATTAAATTTTAACGCTCTCCTAAGAATATGAACTTTTAAAATGTAGTGCATAATCAAACTGCAAGTTTCAAACTATAAAATTAATAAAAAATATTTTCTTAATGGCTTTTAAGATTTACTTTAACATCTTCTCTCAAGATTTTCTCTGGGCTTGGCTATGATCTAGTTGCCTGAAACCAAGGAGAAGTTTCTACTTATCACTGTTTTGGGAATTCTTTAAAGAGATTCATGTGTGGGCTGGCCTAGAATGCAGGAGAACAGGAGCCTGGACACAACGCTGGAGCCACTTTGGAAGTCGCTGTGTCTCGTGACAGGATCAGTGAAATCACAGAGAGGGAACCTGGCTGGGGGTGAAAGGGGGAACGGGGCTGGAAAAGAGGAAGTCTTGACAGTAGAGTGTCCAAGACTCAGGTGTCAGAGATTCCTGAGTGACCTCCAGTGCCTCGGTGTCTTCCTCTGCCAGGTGGGAGTGGCTCTTAGAGTTGCTGAGAAGTAAATGAGGATTCAGTGAAAAGCGAAACACCCGCCATCCGGCAAGTGTTCAATAAATACCACCTCTCACTGTTGGCTGCCATCTCTAATGAGAGTGCATTTTGTTTCCTAATCCGGCTGAAGCCTTTTTCAGACACCAGGCTCTTTCTCCCATTTTGACTTCATCTTCTACTGTCTTGCAGAATCTCAGTATGTTCTGAAACACACTTTGATTCCTTTTCCACGTGGGCAGGGAGCATGGTTTGGCTGCGTCCCTTAAGGCCTGAGCACACAGTCCTTTAAGCACACAGCCCCCTCTGTGGTTGAGTCTCAGCCTAGGTCCTCTGTTGATGGCTCCCGCCCTTGGCAGGGGACTCCCTCTGGGTGGGATCCACAGGTGCCTTCTGTAGGGCAGGAGCTGTTTGAGCAGAGCTTGCAAGGCAGCCACACGTTTCATCTCTGCTGCAGAGCCCGAAAATGCCCCGCGTTTTGTCCTAGCCTAACAAACGAAACCCATTAGAGCAGCGCAGAAACATTATCTTGGCTGAGCAAAGTCCTCTGCTGACCTTTCAGACCTAAAGAATGTTTTAGAAACTCTGGCTTGCTAGAAGTCTTCCGTGCCAAGAAAACCATTTGAGGTCAAGTATGTGGGCGTAGGGGTCAGTGGGGCAAAACGTCCCTCTTGGCAGCTCAAAGTAGACCCAACTCAGCTTAGCTGGGGTCGTATTTCAGGGATGTCACCTGGGTCTCGTTTAAGTTCAGCCCCAAGGACTCCAGGACTTCGGTTGCAAACTAGGCCGAACTTACACTCTTAGGCAGGTATTTCTCCCGGAAGACCTGAGCCCAGAGGAGATGAAAGCAAACAGAGAAGGGTGCTGTCTCATGCCTCCTACAATGCAGCCCACGGGGCACTGGTCCAACGAGGCCAAACCTCAACCTGGAGAAGCACAGGCCTAACGGGACTCAGCCCAACTCCGCTCCCTCAGAGACACCTGCATAGGCAGCAGGTCTCACCGCGGAGGAGAGAAAACAACCCCAAGGGCAACCACTGCTTTAACAGCAGATGGCCAAGAGAAATCTCTAGAAGAAGGCTCCCACTGCATGCCCCCGGCCCAGAGCGGCCCGAGGGACCGACGACACACTCGCGCCAGTGCCTGGGATGAAGTTTCTAGAAACAGCATTCGAGGGATGCTTCAGGGCAGGGACGCAGCAGCGTAACCCCCGGCTGTTTCCTTCCTCTTTCCTCATCCTCCTCTCCCAGGGCCCCCACTGGTCAGCTCAGGCCCTCCTCGGACCCAGAAGGCAGGTTGGGGACCCAGTCTGGCCGGCATCGGACGGCCCCGCCACCCTCCCTCGTCGCAGGCGAGGGGCGCGGGGAGTGGTGGCTCGCGCCTGTACTCCTCGCACCGGGGGGGCGGCGGCAAGGGGCTTGCCGGAGCCCAGGAGCTGGAGACCAGCCCGGGCGGCACCAGGCCTCATCTCTGACACGGTTTGCCAACAGACGCGCCAGCAGATCCGTCAACACGGGGAGGAGGGGCTCGGGGTGGGGCCAGGAGAACGCGAGTCCGGCCGGGCTCCGAGGCTCGGCCTGCCACCCAGGCCTCGGGGAGGCCGAG